CAATGCAGATATTGACCTACCCTGTTCTGGTGGTTTTTGTACTCATTGGGTGTGAACATTGAGCATCCGGAGATACAATGATCAATAGTTTCAATGTATTTGTCATAGGAACAATGTTTTGAGTTTGTACAATTATGAAAGATTGGTAGTTGTGTGTAAGCACATTTTGGTCCCGTATGGTAAGAATAAACCCTACAGTCTCACCCGAGTCATGAATTCCTTAGCCACTGATGAGTTGCAAATTGATCTACAGCAGCATTTTTGCTTTGGAGAAGGAACTGGCTATGTAGATGCTTATGGATCCAGCTTTATTCTATTTACCTTTGGCCTGGCTTTTTTGCTTCTTGTTTCAGTTTTCTTACTCATTTTGTGGCAGTTGTGTCTACTTCAGTGTTACTTTCAAGATTTAAGCTGAATTCTCTTGCATATTTATCAGCTTCTTTTGATACAAAATAGTCTTTTGCTTTTTTCATGCTACATTGAGTTAGAACTTCCAATCTTATATAGCTGCAAGATAGTTATAAAGTTTGAGTGTTGAAATTTTGTAAGAGAATTCCAGTTGAATCATGCCTTTACCTGTACTGCTCCTTAGCAGATATAGATGGTCCATATCTGACTATTGCATGTAAGTTGTTTGCAAATCAGTTTCTTGAGTTCTTTAAGTTCCAGTGTGTATTATTATTAATGATATAAATATTAGAAAATATGTTTCTCTCATAGTCAGGTATATGTAGCTATGTCTAGAGTAGGAAATTCAAGTGAACTAAGCACAATGACAAAAAATCTTTTAGAAAATAAACATCTTGCCAAAAATGATGTTTTTTTTTTTTTGTTTTTTTTTATAGAAATTTTAGAGTGGGATGACAAGTTTTCTCTGTTCATAGAACAGCTATTTGGCTCATTTAAGTAATTTGAATAAACCTGATTCATTTTTATTATCAGCAGTGAAATTTTTAAGTGCAATGACTCTTGGATAGTCAAAAATAGAATGAATTAGAAACACATTATGAACTAATTAATTCTATGTTCCACCTGTTGATACAAGTTTAAGTTACAGTTATGGAAATTTTTTTTAAATCTGTTTTAAATCTCACCCTGTTTCTGCTGAATCTGAATTTGTACTACCTGAGACAGAGATTGAACTCATGATTACCATGCCACTAAATTAATGAACCAACACTTTAATCCACTAGGTTATTGTACAGTATTATGTTTGAATAATTGTCATCAATAAATATCTCCTTGTAAATCTATAAGATTGACTGTCATTTTACAAACCTGTGATATGAAGCTCAATAAAAAAATATGATGAATTTATATACATATGTAAATAATCTTATTTCCTTGTCCTACCAACTATTTCAATGATGTTTTTGATCAATTCTACAAGTAAACATTATTTATATTTGGACTATTATCTCCATCTTCATTATACATTTCAGACATTGTGTCCTCTGGCCTTCTTCAGGTGATTGCCAATCTGAACAAGCTTTGGAGAATTTCAAATTGAACCCTTTATTTAATCAATGGGGTACATTGTTCTTGTTCTGATGTCCATATCTAGAGATATCTTATTCTAGATATGGGCAGTAAAATGAAACAATTTATTCCTAAAGATTAAATAGCAAGTTCAGTTTGAAATTACTTGAAAGTTATCCAGACATCTGAAGAAAGCTGGAAGGCACAATAGCCAAATAATTGTAATGACAACAAAGATGAGGACATTAGTTTGTATGTTTTATATATATATATCTCAGCTTATCCCAGAGATGCAGACAGAAATTCTATATTTACACTATTTACATTGTTTAAACTGCTGTCCTCCTCTTTGTCATATTCACAACATTTCAGCCATTGTGCACTCTGGCCTTCTTCAGGTGATATACATTGGAATTTCAAACCAAACACTTTTAGTCCATGGAGGATGAGAACAGCAATCCAAACAATGTAAATGGTGTAAAAATGTTCAAATACCTCATCTCAGAAATATAGACACATGTTGAGAAATTATATAGTAAATATTTTTTTTATTTACTTCTATTGTTTAAAGGACCTCCTCTAGTGACTTGAAGATGGGCATTTGGTCCATTTTTAAAAGTCAACATGCACATTTTCATACTGTAAAAGTTATCAAGGAAGTCATTAACAACAGAAAAGACATGAGATAATTAGTGTAATTCATAAATCACTTAAAACCATTTCATATTCCTGTCTGCTCAACTCTACCATTAGAAGGCAAAGAGTCGTGGCCACATGAGATTTAACCTTATTTCTTGATATCAGTTGTAAACGGTTAACATTTTCTCCTGTAATGATACAGTTTACTGGAAATGTCATTGACGGCAATGCGGAGATTATTTTAATTCTTTGCTATGAATTAAGACATAAGAATGTATTTGAATGAAGGGAAGAAATGTTCTACAGTATTAATATATAATATATGTAATATTAATATAAATTAATGAAATTTTCTCTGCTGTTCAGTAAATGAGAAAGGATTAACAAGTTTTTTTTATTTCTTTGTGCATTACTGAAAGGTGAATGGAGTGTGGCTGCAAGGATATAGGAAAGAAAGCTATTAGAACTAAAGGTTTCATCATGTCTGTGTATACTAATTTTGTATATATTTTATACTCTGTCCAATAGATTCCACTGAGGCAACTAGATCTCATCATTTTATAGTTGAAGCGACTATATGTAACTCTAAGTTCTATGCTAACGGTTTCTTCTCTTGCAATTCTTGCATGTGAAATGCTTTCAAGTCAACTTTCATCTTCAAAAATTGAAATACAATGTCAGTCATTATCTTTTGTGTTCTTAATTCCTGTTATATTTTATTTTTCCCTCTCCTTAATGTTTTTCTTTTTCTCCTATTACTTCACTTAGTGACTGTTGCCTTGCTTGGGGTGAAATAATTACCAAAAAAATAGTATGTGGCCACAGTTGTCAACATGATGCTGCTGTGGTTTCTGTAGCAAGTAACTTATTACAAGTTACTAGCCTCATGCCCAACTGATTTTGTCCTTCTAGACAGTTTTTCAGCTTCAGTTGGTAACCAAAGTCAGCCCTACTATTTAATCTATAGCTCAAGATTTATTTCTATATTAACATAATACTCATAAAAAAACACACACATATAATGGGATTATTCACTTTATGGTTCAACATTTGCTTAGAATCAATATGTAGTACCTGTTTACATTATGATAAGCGTTATATGCACAAAATATATATGAATACACATATGCATTGTATAGATGTGAATACCTGTTTACTTGTATGTATCTATTTCTACTTAGTCATTGCTATAGGATCATTTTGTATTTAAATTGTTTTTAGTGTCTTTATGATATTTTTGTTATGTCACATCTGTAAAATATCTCACCAGCTGCTTGAGAACATTTGTTACTTTCATCATTATCTGAAAATCATTTTGAATCCCTATCCAGTTCAATAGCAGAATACATAAACCCCAAACTGGTTTTATTTTATGTTAGTATATATAACTACACTGGTTTGGAAATAGCAATAAGTGCTTGTTAGTTACGGCATAAATGTTAGGGTTTGATATTTCATGGTGTCTTGAAAATGTATAGAACAACAGCAGGGAATGTAACTTTCATAAAGATGTACAAGTACATCCACAGAAGTGTTAATTAGCATGAGAAATAACTGAAGCCAAAGCCTTGCCTATAACTACTGAATCTGCAATTATTGTGTAATGTTTTTAAAAATTTTACTTTATTTACTATTACCTAAATTTGCAGTGTCACAATATATGTAGTCATTGGAATTGAGATTTGAACTGTTTAATATATCAAATCTGTGTGTGTGTGTATATATATATATATATATATATATATATATATATATATATATACACACACACACAATCTTCATAGTAGATTGTAAATTCATTTGTGTATAATTAAAAAAAAATGTACATGTAAATTTGGTCACCTTTTAGGTGGCTTGAGATTAGTTTCAGCAAGCTAAAAACAATTCTAATAACACACACAATCATTGATAATAACTGTAGTGTCTGTTGAAAGTACTTAGATTGATACAATAAACAAGCTTTGAAAAGTTAATACTGACATTAAACAACAAAGTTAGAAAAACCTAATAAAAAAAATTGGACAGACAACACTATTTAATAAAACTTATTTTTAAAAAAATGATATAAAAATTTGATTTCATTCTTTCTCTTTGGTTCTAGAGCTATAGATTTTCAAATCTGTTCTTTGGTAAATAATCTCAGTTGTAGCCAATATCATGACTCAAGTTTATATGGAGTGATATTTTTCCTATTTTGCTTGTCATGGAAGAATTACTGTTTTAAATCATAATAGTATTACATCCACATACCAAAAGTAATCCAATCATTCTAATGTTTCTCATTTGTATAACTTGGGCAATGCTAAGAATAAATGTATAAAATTTGATTGAAATCCAATAATTAAAAGCTTTCGTTTTGAATATTTGTTTCAAATATGATCAGCATTTGTCTTATGTTGATTTCTTTCTGTATTTTGTAGATTCCGCCCATTAATATGGATACACAAGAGGTCTGGGCTAGTGCTTTTGGCCGAGAACCTCTTCTCCTCCGTTTCTTACCTCTCTTTCACTGCCTTGTCTACTATGCCATCGTTGTGTTTGCACATGTCCTGTTGTACAAACTCACCACTATTTTCTCACCAAAATGGCTGCAGTCCTATTTGGGAGACTTCCTGTGCACCATCACTGCGTGTACAATATCTTACCAACACAGCATACTTCGATACTACTATGGACCAATAGCCTATGTCATCATGGCTGTACTCATGACCCTGCTTCTGCGACAAGTATTCCAGAACTCTGTTCCTACTGTTACTTCTAATGTGCAAAGGTTCATCAATGGGTTATTTCCCTTTGGGAGCTTATTGTTACGTGTTATTCTACAGATTTTAGCTATCCCAGCCACCATTATGGTCTTGCATATGATATGGATGTTGGAATTGATGCCAGAGCATGTGGAGAAGAGGTCACAACAGGTGTGCACCACTGACTTGAATGTTGCTGTAACCATGGGATTTCTTATTGAAGGTGGGGCAATGATGTTTGATACTTGGTTGAGCAGAATTGACATTACAAACTGGCCACTTTTTGACTCCTGCTTCAAGATTGTCGTTAGCCCATTAATGGTTATAGCAGGTAAGTAAGACTTTAATTATGATTATTGTTTTCTTGAATTATACTCTTATTTACAAAAACTTTGAGAAGTCATAATTAGAAGTTTAGACTATTGCTCTAATTCTTTGTCATTTTTGTGGTTACCATAACATTTGGCAATACTTAAAAAATGTAGAGAAGAATTTTTTAACAATTTTTTTTGGATTAGCATTCATTAGACTTTCCTCAAGCCACAACATTTGTCAGAATCAAAACTATTCCTTTTTTTGCTCTGTTCATAATATAAATACAGTAAATTGATCCCTGACATCATAAAGAGTTATATGTACTTTGCTTTTACTTAGCAATGTAAAGTTTGAAACTGTGCTTACACCATTGATAATTGCATACTATTGGGAATTGAAAAAAAAAAGGTCATGCCGTTATCAATTATGTACATACTATTTCAAACTTTATATTTGTAAATAAAAACAAAGTTGTTGAAAGTCCTCAAGTAATATGAGTATATTTACCTTTTTTAAAACGTTCTACAATATTTTTTCACACTTCATCTGGTAAAAACTTTCGTTTGTTGTTGTAAAATATATTTACAACAATTTTTGCTGCAAAGTGAATTCCATTTTCAGTGTGTTGTTCACAAGTAAAAACATATTTTAGAGAATAAGTTTCCAAAATTCTTTTAGCAGACTCTCTTGTAATGGATTCGGTATATTTTACAATAAATTTATCTGCATAGTCGAGTATAACAAAACGAGCACAAACAAACTCTGTCATTTGGCTAGATTGGAACCGTAAGACCTCCTCAAGAAAGTAAGTCAAAGTACTGCTTGCTGTAGCATCATCACTATCATTGCCTACCTTGACCAAGGAGCACATTTCACATTGAATGTTTATTTTATTTTAATTTTCTCTAATAAAGAAAAAGATGGTAATGGAAATATCTCCAGAAGTAATTTGTAGGTTTATTGAGATGTATAGCGCAGTAGTAAGGCCTAACGTATTAGTTATGCAGAGAATGAAGGACGGCTTCTTGGTTGGTAATATTGCCTTTTTTCTTTCTTTTTTTTTTTTTTTTTTATATAATTCATTTAGAATTGAGTATGGTTGTTCTTCCACCATGTTTTGTATGTAGTTGAGAAAATTTTCTAACATACTAAATCTTGTGAGTTTAGCATTATATCCATGTATAAACCACTGTGGTAATGGTATAGGGGTTCCATCAAACTGGATCTGGATGTAAAGGTTTTGGTCAATGTGATTATATTCTTTTATAGATGGAAAATGTGTTTCGGGGTCAAATACTCTTCCATGAATTAAAATATAATTTTTTTTTTTTTTTTTTTTTTAAATTCAAAACCATTAGTACAACACTTAGTTTCTTCCAAATGAGTAAAATCCTTTATTGTATCAGCTGAAATAAAATCATGTAATTCATCAGTTTGGACCAGTTATTGTTTTGGAGGCTTTCTTAATTCCCTTGTATTCAGCAAAAGAGATGGTTTTCTTATTTTTTCTGAATGTATTGTAGGTATTGGATGTAAATCACAATTTAGTTTGTTTTCCTTTCAAAATAAAATTCTATTCAAAATTTTTCATACAGAGAAATTAATTTTTTGTAGGAAACCAATCAATATGATTAATGAATTTTATCCATTTTTCTATGTCAGATTTTCCAAGAGGAAAAGAAAATGTCGATACTTCTTTACTCTAGAACAGCCAAGTGCAACACATTTATTAGCCATTAAACAAAATATCACAACAAACTTTATAATTTAATCTTTAAATGCAATGGACTATAAGATAGAAAATATACCTAATAGCATTCATTTGCAAAACAGGCCATATGCACACCTGAAAATCTATAGTGAAGAAAATGGCGGCTTACCTCGTCAAACCAAGTGACAGTGCATTTTGTGTATCTTACGATGAAAAATGTGGCAAAAAAGAAAATTACTTACCAAAAATAAGAGCATGTATTCCACATGACATGCTAAAGATGAAATATTTAAATTAAAAGACAAGTCCGTCGCTATACAAATATTTTGATATGCAAAAATTGGGCGTCCACTCCCAGCCATCGACAAATGGAATAAAAGCAGTTGGTGTTCTCGAATTAAGAGAAAAAAAGTTGCTGTATTTTGGCTACTGCATTTGTTGTAGAGTGACTTATATTTCTGACTGGTTATATGCATTGTGATTTGTGAGACAGTACCTGCAAATCGAGTTTTCGGCATTTCTTTCTGTCCCTGAAATTTGAGTTTGAACTTACAGTGATTTGTTCTTTGTGTTGTGGAAGTAATCTGTGGCAAATATTTCCTTTGCTTTCAGAACGCTTACAAATTCATAAAAGTGAGTTAACTTGCAGCTGTTTATAATTTGTGTATTAAAAAAAAAAAAAAATGGTGTAAAAATGAATTTTAATGTTGAAAACCTTTCTAGGGAATTGAAATAACGTCAGATAAATTCTACATAATTGTACATTGTTAATTTACATTCTAAGAATTTCATTTTTAAAATTACTTCACTTTTAGATTAGCCATTTTCTAAGCGGCCATACACTTTCTTTTTTTTTTTTTTTTTTTGCATTACATTGGCCTGTTAGAATTCAGATTGTTATGTGACATGTGGGGCCACATAATACTAGTTGGCCATGGCAGTATCTAACTGGTTTTGTACTTAGATAGGTGGCTACTTCAGAACACCAGGTCCTGTAAGCAGTTTGTAGCCTTGTTCTATGATGTATAAAGATTTTAAAAAATACATTGAAAGTCATAAATAAAAGAATTGTCTGTATGTTACAAGCAGTAATGGTGGGTCATTACTGATCCTTGTTACATTTGGCTATCACAAGTTGTATGACCTTATTTGGTTGATGTTTTATTCCTTGGTAATAAATGTTTAAACCCAACAGTGTTGTGAGTGAGAAAGCCCTAAATGAACAAACCCAACTAAAAAGATAAAACATGGTGTCAGGAGTGGTTAGAACAAGTTGGGTTACTTCAAAAAGGAAAAGAAAATGAATCTTCAACTGCCAGAAGCATTTGACTTTTTTAATCCCTACACATGGCCAACATAGTGTCAAAGATTCAAGAGATTTCAAATTGCATCCAAGTTGCATTTGGTAACTGGACTAATTTAAATAAATACTCTAATATATTGTATGGGCAAAGAGGCAGAAAATATTTTAAAAGCAATTACATTTTCTAAGAAGAAAGACAAAAATGACTTCAAAACTGTAATGATAAATTCAATGTTCATTTCATGCCCAAGAAGAACAGAACACACAAAAAGGCCATATTTCACTTGAGAACACAACACACTGGAGAATGTGTCACAACATTTGTGAGAGCATTATATGAACTTACAGATGATTGTAACTTCACCAACAAGAACAAAGAAATACGGGACTGATTCATTATCAGACTTTAGGACAAAGGATTATCAGAACGCCGTCAGATTACCCCAGATTTGAAACTCAACAAGGCCTTGAAAATGGCAAGAAGTTATAAACAAATGAGAACACGAGGAAAGGCAGACAACAAACATTGACAATGTTGGAACAAAAAATACTCTCAGACTGAAACTAGAAGAAAAAATATCTAGGAAATAATGCAGCAGATGCAATTGGCTAAAAGACTCCAGGAAGTGGGGGGGTCCTACAAAAGAACAAATTTGTAAAAAAAAATGCAACTGCCTCAACCACTTCACTATATATGCAGGATGAAAATAAGCAATGTCCAGGAAATAAAACACAATAACAGGGAGGAATATATTTTTTAGGCTCACTTACACAAAAAATGTAATGTTTGACCCATGATTCACTAATTTGAAGATTTGTGGTAGCCAACTGAAGTTTAAAATAGACACAGAATCGGACATTACAGTAATAAGCCACAAAATGTACAGAAAAATTACATATTCAAAGTATATGTACTAACTGGCCAGGACATAGAAAACTTACTGTCCAGAGAGATTGCTCATTTAATGGGAATGGTTATTAAAGATGTTCTACAATGGAAAATGTGGCAAAAAAGAAAGTTAATTACCAAGAAAAATGGCACATATTCTGTATGATATGCTGAAGATGGAATGTTCAAATTAGAAATAATTCAGTCACAGGAGTTGCCATTAAAGTATTTCAGATATGCTAATATTGTGTGTCTTCTCCCAGCTGTCAATGAATGAAAAATGCTCTGTCTTTTAAAAGCAGTTGGTGGTGTTTGTGAATTGGGGAGAAAATTTGTGTACTTAGCTAGTGCATTCGTTGGTGAGTGTGTTATTTTTCTGACTGGTTACATGCATTGTGATTTGTACCTGTGAATTGAGATTCCAATATTTGTTTTTGAGCTTGAACTTGCAATTTGTTTTCTTCATTGTGGAATCAATCTGTGACATACTGGAATTTTAGTTCAAGCACGATGAAACCGACTACAAGCTATTTTGGCACTATGATAGGACGTGACATCAAGTTGATACCCGAGTTTGATGGTTCAGTGACTGGACAAGCAGTTACTGAATGCAGAGGAAGCAGAACTTGTTTGTAATCTGTGTGGAACCAAGAAGGTTGGATGTGTTCTTCCCTTTATGTAGACAGGTGGAGCATTTGCTATCTACTAACAGTTAAGTGCAGAGCAAAAAGCAGATGTCAAACAGATAAAATGGGCCCTGCAGATTGCCTTTGTGCCTGATTGTTTCTTAACTTATGAGCAGTTTGTGGGACACTGACTGTGCCTGGATGAGTCTGTTGACGTGTTTCTAGCTGATTTGAAGAAGCTAGCAGGACTATTTGGTGGGATATCCAAGCAAGGACTAGCATGTGTTTTCATAGCAGGATTACTAGCACACGTTGAGCAACTGCTGCACAAGACTACAAGTCAACTGTTGCATTGAGCCCAGGTCATAATGAAAGATCAAACTGTTCCTGTGTGTGATTGGCTTTGTGTTGCAGCATCATTTGTTAAATGCAGAACAGTATCGATCATGTCTGGCTGGGATGACGAAGTGACAGATGCTCCCCTTAA